ATAAAATAAATTTACTTGTCATAAAATGTAAAAATGTGAGTTACCACATGAGTCTTAAAAACGTATTAGGTAGCGACAGTGTGATCATTAAATTCGTAATGCCCCCCCCCCCACAAGTTCGAATTATCGCGAATTCCATGTTAGTGAAATCCGAATTAGTGAGGTTTCACCGTACTTCTTTTATGAGAGGGATTACATTGACTTTGACACGAACCGCAAAATTCATTTTTTCCCCCCCGGGGTCGTCTCTCCAAGAGGACCTTTTTTCCTAGAAAAAGTAAATTGTCCATGTTCTTAATTAAGCGTCACGTTATGAAGAAGTACGGTACAGTTGAATTATACCTCATCGCTTTGGTTTGGACGCTAGATGAAGGTGAATGATCAGCTACACGCCCTAGCTGATTTAACCCCTGGGAAAGAGCATCCGGTTCGCATTCAGTAGGAGCTTGGGTGGGCCCCAGGGCCCGTCTGAACGCTGTGAAGAAGAGAGAATATTGACTTTGTGATTGATAGTGTAACGGACCAAAAATGAAACAATTCAAAATAGAGAGAATATTCTTTCCCCTTCCGGGAATCGAACACAGATTCATAGATTGAGCAGCCAATGCCGTAAGACTCCCTGGATCAGGTTTTACTTAACTAAAGAAACCATTAGAAGCTACAGGTGTAATCTGACAAGCAGTAGATTTTTAACCGATGTATAATCACTTCCGTTTGAACGGCACAGACAAAAACAGTGTTAATGACAACCTGATAGCTCTGATCTGGCATCCGATAGTTCTAGCGTCATGTAATTTGAATAACATGCCAGTTCATCTTCTTAGATAAGTGAAATCCAAACCATTAATGTGGTCATTTTATCTACCAATGTCTGGAGGAAAAATAAACACATTAAGTTAATGTTCATCAGCCGAAGACTGGAAGACGCCGCACAGCGCAGTTAGTCCCATGCCTTTTGGGTGGACAGAGATTGTGTTCAGTTTATATTCACCCAAGAAGTTGAACTGCGAAGAAGACGGGACAGAAATGAAATTACTCCGCGTTTCCTCTGTGATGATTCTATTACTGATTATTATTGACGGTTATGGTAGTAAATTTGATTGTAATAAAGGTTTCTGTAGGAAAGAATGTGGTAGATACTGGAATGCATGGTGTTACGTCAGAGGCGTCACAGATGATGAGAAATATATGCATTGTACCAGAGATGATCAGTGCAATGGCGCATGGAAGTGTGAGGGGATCTGTGGATGGCCAGAAATCTGAATATAAGTGAAAAAATCAGGCGTGATTTGTGTCCGCTTGATTCACATATCAGATCTGTGACAGGACTCGTTGAAACAGTGGTAATAAAATATAGTTTCATATGCAGCTTGGAACAGTGCCTGTATTTTCAGCATTATTTGTGGCTGTGTGTAGTGCAGTTTGTATAAGTTAGTACGCATAACTCATCACTTTACGGGGGGAAATACGTTTATTTAAATGCAAAAGTTTAATTAACTTACAGCGAATTTTGGTGAGAATATTGAGTGGTTCAGTGTTCTTGGTTAATACAAAAAGGCCTGCGTATATATTGTAACGTGTTTAGTTACTGAAGACGCCGTTCGGATTCTTAATTGGTTTATTTAATAACCTATAAGTCTTGGCTACAGTTAAGTATACACTGTTACGGGTTTACATACTTTAGAACCCTACGCACAGATCTCTTCACACTATCACGATTCACTCGTTACAACTGAACTCGGTGACTACTACAATTCAACTGGCCTCGTAGGCATTGCACTTCTCTTATAAACCCTCAGCCGGACAACGGGAAACGTCTCGCTTCCTTGTTGCCTAGTCGCCGTGTTTGCCGATAGCAAAGGTGAGTCTACAGAATATGTATATGTATGTATAGATTTCCGAATTACGCGACAGATCCCTTCCAAGCACTTATAACGCAACTCGGATTCAGGCATTTCATTCATTTAATTTTATTCCCATTCATTCTAGCAATTTACCATTCAAATTCTTTTTCTTTTAGAGAGTTAATTTAATCAGCTTTAGTTTGCCCCCCCCCCCAAATATTAAATTTTATAAATTTGCATGAGATCGTCTTAACGTGAAATTCGCGTAATTCGAAATTGCTTAACTCGAGGGATACTTGTAGGCTACGAAATAGTAATTATGTTGGAATTCAAACGCTAATTAAAGAAACCAGTAGTCTAAAGGAAGATAGAAAAGGTGACCGAAGCTGTGCTACTGTTCACAGACGTGCACAAACCAGCGAATAGAAGTTGACGGCTGGGGCTGTCATTGTTAGGCAACGGCTCGGTATCAACGGTTCCGTATCGTTGTCGGGGGTGACCATGAAACAAGTTAACGTGACAACGCATACAAAACAGACGTTACCACGGAAATGAAAGCAGTGCTAGTGCAGTTTCCGCGAGGCATAGAACACGTGAAACGGAACCCTTGAAGAAGGTGTCTTCTAGTCCGTCCGACGGTAGAATAAAAGAGATCAGAGCGGAGACGAGAACAGAACCTCCCCATGTGGAGGCGGGGTCGAATACCTCCACCGTGACCCTGTGTGTCGTAGGAGGCGACGAAAAGGGAAGTCTCAAATCTGAGACAGTAAAATATGGTCGCGAGTCCCAAGGGACTCAGACCCGAGACAGACTACGCTGGCAAAGGCCAGCAGCATATACAAGAGACAGACTCGTCCTCTCGTCAGAGAGGGCGCCCCACAGAAACAAGACCGTAACTGTCAAACGGTAATAATTATTTGGTCATGAGCCCTAGATGGGCCTCGACACCAAGACTTACTGACTGACTGACTGACTGACTGACTGACTGACTGACTGACTGACTGACTGACTGACTGACTGACTGACTGACTGACTGACTGACTGACTGACCGACCGTCAGTCGCAATGTGACTTTGACTTTAACTTGAGAACAGAAGCGAATCACAACTATGTGATAGACAGACTGACTGACCGTCAGTCGGGATGTGACTTGGAGAGCAGAGGCGAAAGGAGCAGAAGAGACCAGCTCAGCTAAGAACCAGAAGACGACAGACTAGCCACGTGGCATCTCCTGGAAGACGTGATTTCTGAGTGCTTATAATTGCAGTTGTAAACGGGTTATCCAATAAACAGCTTCGTCTAATCCGGAACCCATTCATTTCTCGTCGCGTTACCAGGACACGTGACAGTATCTATAAGAGTACATGCTTTCTCATCCCAGAAGACACTAATTTTGCAGTTATGTCCGTGAGAACCTCAAATCTCACATACGAATATTCTGAATAATAATAATAATAATTCCAGAATATTTGCCGGCTGCGTGAATGATTCCAGAAGTGTCTGGCGTGTACCTGTGTTCTGCTGGTAGTGACATGTGCCGCTGGTTTTCTCATCTTTCCTCCACCCGAACTGAGAAACTTCTAGACGTACGTAAAACTCGATTTTGAAAAGGGATTTCTTTATATCATGATAAATTATTGTCAGAGAATTATTAAAGCAAGTGGGATTAAGACAAGATACTGTAACGGAAAATCCTTTAGATTAGAGGCAGAGTCTACATTTCTCTTTCCTAGTGTAGCCCTATATTTGTGTCTTGTAGACAGATTCGTTTTCCGTACAGTTAAGCCCGTTGCGAGTTATTTCTGGCGAAGGCCAAATGATTCTTGGAGGTTTCACCGCACGCGATATTCCAGTGCCTTTTAAACGGAACGGCCTGTCATGCACAAGGAAATGTTGGCAGATACGCTGTGTTCACGTACACGTTTCCCAGGAAATAGCACAGATGTCGGCAACATAACACAATAACTCAATCCTTGCATCGTGTTCAGGAGGTTCCATCATTGTTTGGTTATTTCCTCTACGAAAACAGAAATGCTGTTACGTACAGATTACAGGACCTTATGGTATGCATCCTGTTGTGTGCTATTTACGAAAAGGTATCATTTGGGACAGTCGCACAACAAACAATCAAAAGGAAACAAAATAGGCTCTGTTATGTAGACATTTGTTTTATTCGTTTTTGGTGGTATTGCTACATGTTTCGACCCTTTTCCTGAGTAAGTTTCAGGAGTTTCGCACCCTCACAAAACAACGCATTTAGCCTAGTTTCTTAATTTAATGAGGGAAGATAGAATTATAGTATTATCATTATCCTTATTATTAAAGTACATGTCAATAATGCAGCAATATAAAAGACATCAAGAATATGTCACTCATTAAAAATGTATTTTAATACTTTATGATGTTAAAATCATTAAAATATCAATAGGACACTAAACGTATATTTTTTGAGGCACAATGGATCACTGTGGTCGCGGTGCAAGGGCCAAGAAGGCCCACCCCTTATACATTCATTAAAAAGTATATTTTACATATTAAAGGTGATTATCAAAATTTCTAAAATGTCTCCAGTTTTACATGTATCTTTTTCTAGTTTACGACATGTTTCGGCCTCACATGGGCCATCATCAGGTGATTTTTCTTTTTGATTTTGGGGAGACCACTGCACTGTTCACTTCTTCACCGTGCTCCCATGCACGTCAATGTTTAGTTCTGTCTCATGACTGGAATGCTGACGTTGCATTCTTTTGTGCGGCTATCATAGTTCTCTTGTGTACGTGTCACTATTGCGGTCTTTCTGCATACTTTCTGTACAAAACTTAAGAGCCTAGATTTATGGACCTATTGGAGGAAAATTCGAAGGTTTGATTACAGATAAACTACTAAGGTTGAAAGCACTAGTGTGACCTACAGAATGGCGGTAAATTTTAAAGGTACTTGGGAGACCAGTTAATATGTAACCACCATAAAGTGGATCGTTGATTGGATTCAGCTGGTTCATGATTCGATCCAACATTAAGCTGCTGTGAACATTATGATGGACTTCTGTTCTCGTAAAAGCGAACAATTTCTTGGTCAGAATAGTTGAATACTCGTATAATCAGCTTTTCAAACAAGAGCCTTCAGTGTGGAGTGATCTATTTGTGTGTCCCCCAGGAGTGAGGACTCGTTTGCACTATACCTGAGCACAATGCCGTGGTTAGCGGTGCCCTGGGAACAGGAAGAGAGGCGTCGCGAACTTGCGGCGCTGCTCGGCGTCCAAGGCATCCCGACGCTAGTTCTACTTGATGCAGACGGTAGCGTCATCACGGCGGACGGAAGAGGCGAGGTGAATGAGGATCCGCTAGGGGAGGTGAGTCACTCGGACAGTAACAGGTTTTGCCCTAGGATTTTGGTTGGCAGGTTGAATACGGCTCCCCAAGGCACGCCTTATCTCTGCCGTGTTTCGCCAGGACGCGACTATGCGCACAGTTACACTGACTGGACTGCTGCCTGAAATTCTTCGGCCACAGCAGTAGCGCACGATCAATTACTTCCGAACATTTTGGCATTTCAGAGGACGTACTGAGGCCAAGAAAGGAGTCGGTATAGCGACTGGCTACGGGCTGGATGAGTGAGGGGTCGCAGTTCAAGCCCCGGTGGGGGTAAGAATTTTCACTTCTCCGCGTCGTCCAGACCGGCTCTGGGGCCCATCCAGCCTCTTATCCGATGGGTACTGGGGCTCTTTCCCCGGGGGTAAAGCGGTTGGGGAGTGAAGCTGACCACTCACCTTCAACTAGGGTCGAGGTCAAGAAAATGTGAATCTATACATCCACTCCCCCATATGCCTTCCTGGCATAGTGCTTAATTAGTTAAGCACAGGGATAACTTTACCTTTTATTGAGGCCAAGAAGATATACATAATTTTTACCAAATACACTGTGCGGTACTGATGTGGCTCAGTCGGTATAGCGACTAGGCTACAGGTTGGATGAACGAGGAGTCGGGGTTTCGATTGCTGGCAGGGCAAAAGATTTTTCTCACCTCCACAGCGTCCAGACCGGTTCTGGGGTCCACCCAGCCTCCTGTGCAATGGGTTCCGGTGGCTGTTTCCCCCGGGGGTGAAGCGGCAGGAGTGTGAAGCTAATCATTAATCTCTGCTTAGTGCCGAGGTTGAGAGTGGTGGAGCTGTACCTCAACTTCCCCATACACTTTAATGGCGTGGCGCTTAATTAATTACCCAGGGATAACCTTCCTTTTACCTTTACCCTGTGCAATATTGAGCCAATTAGAGTCAGTATGGACTGCGGTGAAAACCAGAGATGTTGAGTCAATTTGATTTCTACTGAGAGATTCCTAACAGGGACTTATGGCTCACACATTGCGATACTGTGTTTGAGAACCCCTTTTTCATATATACGGGTGTCCTTGTCGGACTGCGTGCACTGTGAGGTGAACATAATGACGTAATCAACAACCAGCGAGGTAAGAAATTTACTCTTACTAAATTATCTCGCAGAAACGTGTTATTTTAGGCGACTGCAACATTTTGCAGCTCTGACTGGGAGTGCCTCAGTGCGGTAGTCGACAAACACAGGAGTATTCTGGAAGTTACTAACGGCAACATCGCAAGTTAATAGCCAAATTCCGTGATATAAAGCTATGACTATATCTGACTCGTAAGCTTGCATATTCGAATCTGTTTTAACCTTCTGAAGCACTAATCTTTTCTAAAATTAAAAAATCCAGGTTCTGCTTCACAGGAAACAACTGCGTCTCCATTACAAAGACCAATCGGGCCAAACTGTTTAGGGAAATAATCGCGGTTTAATCTGATAATCACAACTAACGAACTCCATGGAGATGAGCCCTCTTGAGAAGCCGCCGGTTGTGCAGCTATTCTGAGGATCGGTCGAAATATAAATAATGCCAAGTTTTGGTGTGACTATAGACGGGGTTTGGACTGGTAATTGGATTTACCGGGCACATAGGGTGAGGGCACACCAAGGAAACTGGCAACCTCAACGCAACCCGAACTTCCGAGAATCGTTATCACATGTGAAACGGAACTGAGCAGCGCACATTGAAGGAGACGGCAAGGCAACTCCCGGGTAACTGAGCGGGCCAGCTTCTCACAGTTACGTCGCAGCGTAGTTTCCAAGTTTCCGCTGTTCTAACGTGCTCCGGTGATTCATTTGCTTCTTTGGGTGTTATGAAATGTTGATGAAGCTGCTAATTTTGTTTTTGTGCAGTTAACTGAGCAGGACGGGCGCTACCAGATTTTCTGAGAAGTAGTGGGTCTGGAACGGGGTCCACTCAGCCTCGTGAGGACAATTGAGCTATTTCATGAAAATAGCGGTTCCGGTGTAGAAAACCGAGATTAACGGCCGTTGGTATCCGTTGCGCTGACCACGCGACAACCTCTATCCGCAAAAGTTGGAACTAACTTCGCCGACAAGTGACGGTCGCTCGGCCGGTATAGTTCGCTCGCGCACTACAGGCCATGGAGTTTGTTTTGTTGTTTTAACTGAGCAGGAGCATGGTACATATGACAAGTGCCACGCAAACTATGCTAGGCGGGACAAAATAGATTTGGCTTGGGAGAGAATTTCTCATGAGAGGAAGGAGTCTGGATCATGGTTAAGTTATTTCGAAACAATATAAGCACCTGCATTTAAATTGTTACGGAAGAACGGATGGACCCAATATTTTCCTAATATTGTATTTTAGAATCCTTTTGCCTTAATATATCATTTATTAAACATATATTTCCGTCTTAGGTGCAACTTATTATCCAGACACATCGAAAACACCATTGTTCTATTGTTGTGGGCGTCACCTAGCAACGGCCGCTGTTTACACACTCACCGCTTAGTAACGGGTCTATACGCATATTGTGGATGATAAAGCAGAGGGAAGAGCCCTCGGTAGGCAACGAAAAGTAGGCCGGGTGGGCCCCAGAGGAGAGAGAAATCTCTTGCGCATGCAATTACCGAACCCCGATTCCTTGGTCATCTAACGTAGACATTATACTGACTGAGCTGTTCCGGCTCTCAATATTAAATGGATCTTACGCCCAATTTTCCGGAAATATTATTTTTTGCTTGCTGACTGCTGCTTTTATAGTAAATATTTAGTCTTGATTAAATGTTCACAGTTCATAGAGGACATGCTCCAGAAAAGAGCCTAGAAAGAATTTATGTACATGTTTTATCTGGGGAATGCAATTAATTTTTATAGTTAAACTTAAATACATTTGATATATAGATAAATCCAGTATTTTGAAAACTACTGGAATAGGAAAAAACATACTTGCAATTATTTTGCTAACCATTTTTCACAGCATAGACAGTTACGTTAAATGAAATATAAATTTTACAACAACAAATTACGATAAAGAATGAACATTATAAAAACAGCTGGAATATATACATAATCAAATTCTTGCAAGTTTTATAGATTTTCATATTCAGCAAGAGAGAATATCGAGGGGGGGGTGCATATAGGATATTGGTGGGGAAGCCAGAAGGAAAGAGACCGCTAGGAAGACAAAGACATAGGTGGGCGGATAATATTAAAAAGGATTGTGGAGAGATAGGATGGAATGGTGTGGACTGGATTGATCTGGCTTAGGATAGGGACCAGTGGAGGGCTCCTTTGAACACGGCGATGAACCTTCGGGTTCCATAAAATGCTGGGAAGTTTTTGAGTAGCTGCAGAACTGGCAGCTTCACAAGAAGGGCTCATCTATGGCTATGAAGTTAGTTTTTCTTTTATTGCTAGTGGGGTGGGACTAAGTCCCTTGTACTGCGGCCACTTCTGGCCTATTGTACCAGCCCCAGATGATAGGTGAGGGCGATTGTGGAGCAATTGGTGGAATGAAGATTGGCAGGGGAAACCGAAGTACTCTGAGATAACCTGCTCCAGCGCCATTTTGTCCACCACGAATCCCACTTGACCAGACCCGGGATCGAACTCGGGCCGCCGCCGTGGGAAGCCAGCGACTAACCGCTTGAGCTATGGCACGGCCCTGAATTAGGTTACTTCCGATTGTTCTAATAAGGAGAAAGCTGTGAAAGTTTCGTTGCACAAACCGACGGCGTAGTGAACTTACTGTGTCCGGGGCTCGGGTCTTATTGGGGTGATAATGAACCCCTGGATTCAGCTCTTGATCAACTGAGCGACTACCAGTTTCTCAAGTAGGACTCTGCTCCTTGAATATGTTGAACTTTACCAAAGAAACTAGTGAAATGCTACGTTTGGAGCATGGCTTTGTATGGGGCTGAAACTTGGACACCTAGGCCAGTAGATCAGAAACATCTGGAAAGCTTCGAAATGTGGTGTTGGAGAAGGATGGAGAAGATCAGTTGGACCGATTATGTGAGATATGAAGAAGTGTTATTTAGAGTCGGTGAGGAGAGGAATATCCTACACGAAATAAGAAAACGGAAGGCTAATTGGATTGGTCATATCTTACGCAGTAACTGCCTTCTAAAAGAAGTTATTGAAGGAAAGATAGAGGGGCGGATAGAATTGACCAGAAGACGAGGAAGAAGACGTAAGAAGATGCTGGATGACCTTGGGGACAGAAGAGGATATTTTCATTTGAAGGAGAAAGCTCTAGATCGCATCAAGTGGAGGAACTGTTTTGGAAGAGACTGTGGACCTGTCGTCTGACAGATTACAGATGAATGAATGAATGGATATGAATCACTTTGAGCGTAGAAGCCGGTAAGGAAAACGGGTGCAGATGGCGGTAACATGAAGTCACCTACATTTTCTTTAAGTTGGCTGTTTTTGCGTGCTGTTTATAATTGCCATTCTTTTTCCGTGTGGAGTTGAAATGAATATAAATTGAACATCCAGTTTTATTTTCTCTGTTACAGAACTTTCCATGGCGACCAAAGCTCGTTAACATCCTGACAGAGAGGTACGCTGCAAAACTACACGACTACCCAGCAATCATCTTGTTTGTTGGTAAGATTAAAGTGTATTCGCCAAGTAACTCCGACTTTATTGTGTTACGCAAAAATTTCGTTTTAGGAAAGGGACGCTTCCTTAAAAGGATATTCTTTGAGAGAAAATACGTTAGACTGAAACAAATTACCAGTTATAGTACAGAGGCATGTGACAGTACATGCGTAAACATCGCAGTGGTGACGCAAGATATGTTTTGTTTACTGTAACCACGTTAACAACCGCCTCTGTGGTCTAGTGGTCAGCGTTCCTGGCTACAGGTCCAGAGGTCCGGGTTCCCGGTGATACCAGATTTTCTGAGAAGTATTGGGTCTGGAACGGGGTCCACTCAGCCTCGTCATGATAATTGAGAAGCTGTTTCAAGTAAATAGCGGCTCCGGTCTAGAAAACCGAAATTAACTGTCGTGGGGATTCGTTGCACTGACCACGTGACACCCTCTATCCGCAAAAGTTGGCACTAACTTCGCCGACAAGCGGCGGTCGCTCGGTCGGTATAGCTCGCTTGCGGACTAAATTCACGGAGTTTATAATCACGTTAAGAGCATCTCACACTGCCAGCCTGTAGCGTCTTGTGATAGGATAGTGGACAATGCGGGGAAGGATGCGCAGAATTGTTACGGAGGGGCTGAGGAAAGCCACGAAGGGCCTCTTGTGTAGAAGATGATGTCTGAAATATTTTAGATCGGATTGACTGGTTTTCATCTAGCGTGAAATGATTACACGTATTCCACTCGAGAAGATAACGTTGTTTGAATTCTCCTACGGAACATTCACTCGTGTGGAGTCCATGAAGGGAGGAGATGGAGTCTAATTTATAATCAGATTTTATGAGAATCATCTGCTGGGGCAAGAAGAAACAGCAGTTGGTGGGTGCTGCTGGGTTCTCACGTGTTCCGGGTGACACACAGGTTTACTACAGACAGCTGTTGGTTATCCGGGATAATGCAGATGGAAACCCACGAATAATCCGATTCTGCGTTTGACTTTAGACACGACGCCATTACAGAATTCAATATTTTAATCGATAGTAATATTTTAGGAAAAAAAAACTCCTGTACCCACTTTCTGAGAAGTAAAACTTCTTTTTTTCGTAAGTGCAGCTCCAACAGACGCATGTAACTGCCCTACATTCACGTCGTGTAAATGGAGGCCAGGCTCCCCTCTTTGAGAGTATGAAATGAGATATATGTAGGATCTGAGGTCCTCGCATGTCGCTTCACGGTTGAAGAGTAATTAAAGTAAGAAACCAGCATGGAGTAGGCAGAAAGTGTGTTCCTTCGAAACGTCGGTTGACTTTTAACGGGCTACACGGCGTTATATCCCAGAAGATAGAACTCTCCAATTGAGGTTTATGTTTTCGTTGCACGAATGGTCTCTCTCTGCGGATGAACGTAACTACAAATGAAATTTTCCTGTAGCTATGTGTTCACAAGTTCAAGCACCGAATCACTCTATAGTCACTTACATGAGGACGGTTCCACATAGTGATAAGAATGTAGTTCGCAGCTTATCATTTCGCGTAGTAGCATCAGCGTTAATAGGTTCGACTGCCGATCACGGTGGCCGCGCAGTCTAAGACTTGAACTGTCGTCCGCCCGCTCAAACACTGGGATCGTGGGTTCGACTCCCACTCAAGGCATGGATGTCTGTGTGCGTTTCTCTGTTTGTGCTGTCCTGTGTGCAGGTAGCGGCCTTGCGATGGGCTGATCCCCCGTCCAAGGAGTCTTACCGGCTGTGTAAAATATCAAGAAACTGAAAAATCGACCAAGGTCCAACAGAGGGCTGTAGAGCCATAGATAGGTTCGGCTGCAATTTGAAGTTTCAATAAATCCAAATTCTAAAGTGATATATAAAAACTCGCACTTTAAATATTTGTTTTCTCTTCAAACATGGATACTTTCACATCTGTATCGGCATGTGAACCTTTTGTTAAAAGCAAAAATACGCCAAGGATTTCGCAGGGGAATGTTTACGGCACGGTGATCACGTATTACAGCACATTCATGAATCACCTACATAAAGTCACCCTGGGTCAGGTTTAAGGCGGGAGCGACCCAGGGCCTTCACTAGACAGAAATAGAACCCGCAGATTTTATTGAGATATTTGCTTCTCTGAGTTGGTTGGTATGGTTCGTTATTAAAAGAAATAATGCCAAACAAAAGAGAATTTTCATAACCTAAATTTGTTTCCGGCCGAAAGGGCCCTCCGTATTTTAATTTCCCTGCAGCCCAGGCAATTATAAATCTAGCCTAGACGTCACCTCTCAGGAAGTTTCTCTCAAACCGTATGCTTACTATACTCAGCAAATAGGCCTAACATAAAGAAAATTAATAGAAGTAGCCTCTCGCCACAGTTGGCCGACTGATGCCATTAATTAGGTCTTGGGTCTGTTATTTTGTCGCTAGGCATGCAGGAAATTAACAGTAAACATATAGAACAGAATGTACTTAAATATGTATCATAGTAGTCTTGCAGATATGTAGCAGTCAGATGCGTTGTCGCGATTCGTACGTGTCAAGTGTGAGCTTGCGCTATCTCAGTGGCTTCAGATTACACTGATCTGGTCTATGTGGACATCTGTTAGGTGCCTAATTTGAAAAGATAATTCTTCCAAATCTAATTCACATTCCCTGGGTTATTTAATGACGCTTTCAGTAACGAGACTGTATAGCGTCAGATGGTAGGACAGACGAATTAGTAAAGATCTGGAAGGATACAGTCGTGACCTAATCGGAGTATTTATTATCCCGGGATTTGCATGGCGGGATTGAGGCAAAACTGACCTCCGTCAGGGTCGACGCTGATCAAACCAGAGATTCAAACTGAAAATCTCCAGAATAAAGTTTACAGCCTTACCTCTATACCAGTCTGTTCTGTTATTCACATTACACGATAAATACTAACTAAACACAATGAAATATCATTGATACTCAGAATAGAAATAATGCAATGAAATAAAAGTTACTTGTTCGTGACAACCAGGTAAAAAACAGGTTTGTATGTGTTAACGCAAGAAAACTCGTTGCTAAGGTAACCGAGAAGAGCGAAATTTCACAGCTTTTGCAAACATCGTAAACCTCCTGTTTTTGTATATACGTGTATCAGGGTAGCATCACTTTTCAAAAGTGAGGTTATTGTCATTTCCATTCATTCATGATTTCAAAAGGCCGAACACGTTTATAGAATTCTATACACTGGTAGGTCCGTGAGTATCTTCATAGCCGCTCTGTAAACAATCATGAAATGCACCAAAAATGGACAAAAGGGAATATAAAACCACTTGTATACAGAAATATTTCATAAGAACAGGCCTTGTAGCCGGTACTTACATGAGTAAGGCTGTAGCACTCGGGTTGAGGGAGGTGAACACCAGGCTTGTTTACTATGAAGACGTCAACAGCCGACACATGACACTCAACACGCCACTGTATAGTCTGCTGTTCAGACATGCTTTGTAATTGTAATTTTGTGAGGTGGGATGGGGTGACACTGAAACCACTTCGTAGCCATGCTTTGAAAAAGCGTCCTAAGCTATGGCTACGTCTAGTTACACCATAAAGAAATACACAGCTCAGTTCGGTCGTGTTTCATTGCCTGCCTGCAGTTGTCTTCTTTAGAATGCCGTCTGGAAATTCATGCCCGTGTAACCATATCGGTTTTGTTTTGGATGTTTGAGCTATACACCAGCAAGATAACAAATGTATAACTGCTTATACACTGCACAATTCCTATTTAATTGTTCGCGTATTTTGTTCCAGTAGGCCTGATAGTTTAGAAATATACAGTACAATAACGTTTTAACGATATATTTCAAGAACTGGCTATCGAATATAATACCTCTTCAGATCAAAATGTTTTACGAACTGGCTAACCACCTTCCTCCAAGCCTGTATTCTGGAACTCCACTGAGAATGAACTCGCAGCAAGAGAACTTTGCATGGTAAATGGAGGTATGATTATCTTTGCTGGCAGCGGAGAGAGAGAGAAAAGGAACGTGTTCTGAAAATGTATATGAGCATTAACGGTTGTGATTAACAGAACCAGGGATCTCCATGATAATGATCTTATGTTTTCTCATTATTATTTAGGACAGGATACCAAGACTGAGCCCCATTTCATTTCTTTGTTAAACGTAAAGTGAATTTTGGATAATTGCATGAGAATTCAATAGTTACTGCCCTTGCATGTTTTCAAAGATACATATAAGTAAAACTACGGATACAAAACTGGAGACAGTCTACGTTAACTAGTGCATTATAGCGACCATTAACCAAAGAGAGCTGAAGAATAATAGGAGCAGTTTATGTTAGCTTACTACATAATTCCAAAATATTTTTGCCCAAATAAATGTAATAAAATTTTGCTTGTCAGTGTTCTCATAAGTTCTCCAGATTTAAAATGCTTCCATTTAAAGTCATATTCTGAAGCCAGTGGGCGGGAAGTAGTGAACACAGGCTCGGGCAGGGATGAGAGGCAAGCCAAGAATGTTCCTTCTTCCTGGACTTTTGAAAACAATATTCGAATCTACAAGTAAAATGGAAGTATACCAAATATTAATACAACAATTTAAATACATTTTTATGAAACATATTCTTCTATCTCGAATATTCCGGGGCGATCCGTAAAAATATTCTTAAACGGCTTAGCCCAAAGATTGTAAGCAACTTAATCTGGCAGTAACCATGCGGTGCCCACAGCAGCGAGAGCCACTTTTTGAGCCAACAGAATCTGCAATGTCGAAAGTTTTCTTTGCGTTCAGAACTCCGTTGATTGCAATTTTCGTGTTTCAGTTTGTTGCGTCATGTTGCAACGTTATAATTAACTCTAGGTGCATTACGCCACGTTTAAGGCATTCTAGTTGGTGTAGAATTTCAGGAACTTCTGCACACTGTTGTTTTTTTTTTCCTATTGCTAGTGGGGTGGGACTAAGTCCCTTGTACTGCGGCCAGATGATAGGTGAGGGTGATTGTGGAATGAAGATTGGCAGGGGAAACCGAAGTACTTGGAGAAAACCTGCCCCAGCGTCAATTTGTCCACCACAAATCCCACTTGACCAGACCCGGGCCGCCGCAGTGGGAAGCCAGCGACTATTATTGTTTATTATTATTGGATGGGGTGGGTTTCCCCATGCACCGCGACCAGTTTGATCTATTGTACGTCCCCCTGTGATATTCTACCAGTCTCTATACCCTACCGATACTGGTGCGTACCATCAGTCCCGAATCAGCCAGCGAGTTCGGCCTCTGCTGGCTCAGCGGTATCTCGATGCTTCCCCCATCTACCAGAGGCGTTAGAGACTACTGTTGGGCGGGAAATGTCCTTAATTTAGCTCAGTGGCCTCCTTTGGAGACATTAGGTTCTTTTACGTGCCGTAAAGCTACGACACGGGACCCACGGTTTAAAGTCCCTCCCGGAGGACTTGTTCCCTGAATTTTTCCGCCCTTAAAAATTCCACGACCTCCGCCGGGTTTGAACCCGCGTACCTTGAGTCATGAGGTGGGAACGTTATCCCTAGACTACGGAGGCTGCTTAGCCAGCGACTAACTGCTTGAGCAATGGCACGGTCACACTGTTGAGTTACTTAAACTTGACAGCAATACTTTCAGGACGTTTAGACATGAACTCCAGAGCACTTTGGTTTGAGTAATTAATTGGATGTCTAATTTTGTAATTACCAGAGGGAGAGGAAGGAGAAATGGAGTTTGCTGAGTCGGTTCTCCTGCCTGCTGCAGAGCAGTTTGCCATGGTGACGGACAGCAATCACCGGGATGAGGACCGATTGCTGCATTTCTTTGTGGGCTGTGACGTAAGTATAGGGGGTTCTGAAATCGTACGAGCTAAAAGAACTTTACTCAGCCTGTTACAATATCTAATTTGTGGATCATTTAACTGTTATCTTTTAAATAGAATGGTCCCCCAGCGAGTCGCATATGTTATGGATACAAAGAGTGTTCAATTCAGATTGTGTGTAGTTCGTAGAGACTTGACTGTGACCCAACACAACCAAGTCTTGTCTTTCATTAGTTACCGAGTAATCCCATGTCTTGCTTCTGATCAGCTGGTAGGTGTCACTAGTGTTATAGGTGAGCCCAATTTTAGCTGAAATATTGGTGAAAGGCAGATCACATACCATGAGTACCATTGACTAGTTGGGGACTTCTAGGAAAGTATTTGGAAGTAGGCAGTTGAAGAATATGTTGAGGTACTCTTCCAGCATTCCTCTGCGGAAAACCACAATGATTTTAAGTTAGGATATTCAGAAACTCTGATGAGATTCAAATCTGAAACCTCCCAAATGTCTAGTGTTACAGCTACAAACTTACTTGACAATATATTGTCTGGGTACACTTTCTCTTCAGTTTGTGAAGCTGATCTGCGCAGTCATGTGCTTACTAAATGAATGATTGATATTCCACTTGTGAGACTTTTTTTATATTTAAATTGCAATGTGAGATTTCAGGTTCTCATGGTGATGACTATGAAGACTGCCATCTTCTGGGATTGCATGGCATAACATCCCAGAGGACAACAGTCTTTTTAAATAACCATTTCTTTCCCTTCATTTAATAAAATAAACGTTGTGCCCTCACATTCATTACTTTGTGAAATGAGAATCCAAATTACGAACTTTCCTCAAGCACTTGCACACCCAGTCATCAAGAAAACACAATGGGGATTGGGAAGGTTTGAAACTGAGGGGACAAACTTATGGATGGATTTAAATGGCAACTTAAAGATCTGTGATCTTCTGGGATGTGACACTGTGTAGTTGTGGGTGTGTATCAGTGTTGCAGAGGAAGATGAAAGCATATGTTCCTTTGAAACACTAGTATCCACTAGCAAGACTTCATTCATGGTGACACAATCATGAAGACCATAATGACGATACAAGTAAATTCATTGCATGGTGTAATTAGTTTCAAATAACATAAGTTAAAATGTTTATCATGTTGTTTCCAGTCTGAGACAAGTGACCTGCTACGAGAATTTGTGGGTCTGGACGATGCAGTGCCACTGCTGACAGCTATAGACATCTCGGGTGGGCATCTGAGTGTCATGGAAGATGGAGCAGAGATCACAGAACAGAGTGTGATCAGTTTTGTGACAAGGTTCCTGGATGGAACACTCCCAACATCTGACATAACTGCAAACAACATTCAGATGGCAGCAGGAGCCATGAGTATGATCTAAACAAACAGTCAGAAGGGATGTGAGAACTGAGAGACGTCTGAAACACATTCCATGGGTTTGAGATGTATGTACACACCAGTACAAGTGCAGAGACAGTGGTTATAAATAAAGATGAGGTTCTCAGCAACCACTACATCACAAAAACAAAAGCTTAGCATTCAATTTGTAATTTTTCCCACAAAACAAATTTAAAGAATCCTAATCATTGTAGGAAACTGTTAATTGCTTCTGTTTTTAACTTATTGTATAGATCAATTAAACAATTTGCTTTAAATAAAAACAATTTTCATTTCATAGGAAGCATAAAGCCCAGATGTTCAGCTTTGGCATACATGTGGGAACGTTCTCAAATTCATGTGATCCAAGTAGTGAACTCATCCTTCTCCAAGACCAGGTATATTTTAACCTTTTTCATGACTGACCTTTTTTTTTTTAAATAAACCAACTTCTTTTGACCAGGTGATTCAGTGATAATTTACGTTATTCAAAGTCATAAATATTTGATTTGTAATTCATGCAAGTGACAAGGGTGGTCTTCCTCTGCTGAATGTTATATAATAAATACACAGAGCATACACATATCTAATTCTTCTAAATGAGATACCTTGTTTTTAGTGCTTAAGAATTTAACAAGTCACCAATGACAGGCCAGATTTTGCAGGACTTTAAAATACAAAATTTATCATCTTCATGTCATAAGAGCTACACTGAGCAGCGTGCAGTGTACCACTTCAACCTGCAGCAAACGCACCAAGCACCATGCTGCATCATACTTTCATGGAATGATACACATCATTGAAAACAATTTAAAACTGTACACACATGAACCCCAATCTAAAGTTCCTCAATGTAAGGTTTTACCTCATTTAACATTTACATTAAGAGATTAATCTCAGCGTTAACTTTCTTCTGTTTATTATTTCCTCAGTTTAATGTTGAAATCCACTGCTCTCAAAAGAACCTCAAATGACAGTTTCACTGTAGTAGCCAATAAATGGCAGATGATGCACTGAATTTGCTCTGTATTACATAAAGAAATGGGAATATTTTTAATGCTGATTGGAAGAGAGCTCAGACAGGGCTGTAAAAGGAATTAACACAATTTATAATCTGGCAGATATTTTGGACATTTTTCATCTTCCATCATTGGACAAAAATATGAAACCTACTTGATGGGTCTGTCCCAAGTCAGTAGTTATCTCCTTTTGGTTAAAGGAACATGCTTCGGCCATCAATTTATGACGGTATGAAAACAAAACTCTGTATCATTTACTTACCGGATCAAAAACATTTTCCTTCATCACACGTAAGTTTATTTCAAGACTGTGGGTGGGAAGACAATCAATTAAATTGAAGTAGTTGGAAGTCCATTTTAGAGATCCATCACATGCTAAGTAAAAAATTAATGTTACACTCTGTGGGAAAGCATGCCTTTGTCTTATGTATTGAGGGGAAACTTCAGCTAAACTGGAAAGGTGTACTGCACGTACAAACATGTTCTCTGAAAGATTATTGATAATGAACAATATGTATCTTACATATGGAATTTCTACTCTTCCATAAATAACACTGAAACAATGAATGATGTTAAAATATTTTACATACTGGTCTAGCTTTTCTCAACTTTGTAGGATAATTAGTACAGTTTCCATGAACCAGAGAAATGTCTAGAATGAAAACATGAACTGACATTGATGATCTGTTTCATATGTGAGGACAGTAACTGACATGCACGTGATTGTGTATGAGGAGTTAAGTTTTGATTCTGAGAACATATTATTATTACAAATACATTTAGCAATAAAAATACAGATGTATTTCATTTTGTGTCTGGCATTTCTGTCCCTTTATTACACAGATTTATGCAGGAAGGATCTTGGAAGAGAAAACCTTACACTTTGCCATAAAAGGAAGCGTAGTTTGGGAAAACATACAAGGGGTGAACAAAATAATGGCAACATTAAGAAATTGAAAACAGAATTTGTGTTGGCTACATTGAATGTTCTTCCATTTGTTTACACTGTGTAGTGCTTAATGCATTAGTGACTGTGCTGAGTGACAGTCTGCGTGAAAGATTCAGAAAATGGGAGACCTGCCTCATTTTGAAAGAGGAAAGAGTACAGATGATTGGTGCATGTTTAGCTGATGCATCTTCGGGGGGGGGGGACTGCCACATTATGAGGTGTATCAAGAGTGACAGTTTCTAAGGGTAGGTTGACATACACGAATGATGGGAAGACAACATCAGCGATGAGGAACAGTGGGCAAAAATCAGTGCTGACAAAAAGAGATCATTGTACATTGAGAAGAAATGTTTCGATTCACAGAACTACTGCAGCATGGGTGACATCCGAACTGAACATTCATCTTAAAGGCACAGTTTCCACAAAGAATTGTCCGTGAGCTTCACAGATCCAGCATCCACGATAGGGCTGCAACTGCTAAACCTCTGATTACTGAAAGTAATGTTCAGATTGAATTCGAAGAATTCTCACCCACAAACGATTGAGGACTCTGAGATACTCGTAATAATCAGAATTCACTGTTTGACCTTCTGGCAGAAATTCCTTGTGAATGAATCCTTTGGAATCGAAGAAAACGGTTAGCAGTGTCTTTACTCGACTCTTTTGCATGCGCACTTTCTTTGGTTTTGGCTTCTTTGGGCTCAACCACGCTGCACTCTGCCGCTTTGTGAGAGGCTCATATTGAAAACACCATGTCTTGTCACCAGTAACAATTGATTTTGTAAATTTTGTATCACTTTGGGCATCAGTGAAATAAGGAACCAAGGCTCAAGACAGCAACTATATCTGAGGAAGGAGAGGACAAAGCAGGAGTCAGGATCTACATTTGGGAAGCCAGAAGACATTATATGAGACCCTCAGACAAACTCTCAAGTTTGAGGTCATAAAGCAAGCAGTCGGACTTCCATTAGACTGTGTAAAATGAGTATAAGGACACAATGGAGGAGTTACCCTCCAAACCAAAAAAGAGCCTACTAGCAGTTTTAAAGTAGGAGCCACTCGGGATGAGTGGCCTTAGGGAGGGAGCTGTGGGAGTGGTTGGAGAGTATACACCATGCAAACCAAGCCATGGGGAGGAAAATGAGATCGATCAGACATCGCAAGCACAGCCCTTGGAAAAGAAATGGCAATACACCTGTTGACCATTCGGGACAAACAACCTCAAGGAGGGAGCAATGCGACATGACACCAAAAAGGCCAGAAGAGCGGAGTTAGAGGAGAGAGCCATTGCTAGGCAACGGCTCGTTAAACAAGTTCCCACAGCAACAGATACACAAGCAACAACAGAGGAATTGTTGGGAACGATGTTTTATGTTCAGTTTGTGCAAAGTGGTTATAAAGAAGAGTTCAGTTAAGAATCTGGAGTTCCAAGTGAGCATTTAGTTGAGAGTTGGGCTCTACAAGGGAGGCTGAGAAGATGGAACTATGAGTTCAGGCGTGGAATGTTAACCAGGGGGCAATGCTGTGCCCACAGAAGCTGAAGAATCTCCATTGTGTTGAATCTGTTGCTAGGAAACAGCTGGTGGAGACTGCAATAGATTGAAGACGCTAGCTAATCTGTGTGTGTCAGTGAATTGTAAAGTGTAGTGTAAAGTGTAAAGTGGTGTATACAAGTGCTCAATATATCCAATCCATACCCCATCTATAGTCACACACACCTAAATTGTGACACTATGTTTCTTGGTTTTGGGTCCCATATAAGTGATCTTAAATTAGTAATCTCACTATTAAATCTCCTTCATTTAAGGTTTATCTTTGTTTAGGGATTTAATCCACAGCTTCCAGAAAAATCTTAAATAGGGAATGCCACTGTTATGTTATGAAGAACACGCAATATATTGGTTTTCTACCATTTATGTATTTCCTGAGGTCAAAAAGGACCGTAAACCAAGAGCAATTTAATCCTATGAACCCTTCACACTCCCTATTACCCCACACATACTATCAGCATATAACCATATCAACGTCACAATACCCTTATGAAACCAACAGCAACTACCACAGGAAATGGTCTTCATCTGCCTGCATATGAAGGAAGTTCACAGTATGTACACCAGTGTCATTATCAATACCTCTAAATAATTAGTTTTTTAAATTTAAAATTCATTGCGTTTCATTGTAAAAATTTCATTAGTGACTAGGGAATGTGCTGCCATTTTTCATTTCAAATTATTTTAATGCATTTTAAAAAAAGTCTCTGGAAACTTTTTAATTATTCACACCTCATATATGAATTCTGCAGAACTGTTTAAAAAACAATTAGAATAAAATTCTTTATGACTTTGCTTTAGAGCAAAAGGAACAATGTGTCTTAAATATTAACTCTCCAGAAATAATTTGTGCTTTGCTTCCATTAAACCGCTTTGTGATAAAATAACAACTGTCAAATAATTAAAAATTCTACAGACTGATATGTAGGTGTAATTATTAAAATATGATTTATCCTAACTTAATAATGTAGTCAAGGCATCAAAAAATCTTGTCCTGTCTTCAGTCTTGAGTTGAACAACTGCAAGATAAAATATAAAAAATATTACATAGCGGCATTAAAACTTAACACAAATGTTCAATAAGTAGTTACTATAGGATTCTGATGATGGTGTATAATACACTGATATGTTGGGATTTTGGACTTCATCCATCGTCCTGGTTTTTAAGATAACAAATAAAAACACGACGTTTCGGAAANATACAGTTGCCCTGCACAGCTCAGCAAAGTAATAACGGCCAAGCTTAGATGATGCCACAATTCACAGAAATGCTGACAAAATGTATAAAATATTCTAGGATTTATGTCTGAAGATTTTCTAGTTGCTACAAAGACTGACTACTGTAAATTCTTATATTAAGCCATCAAAAATTAATTACTTGATCTTGAAACTTTGCAAGAATTTTCAAAGAACGAAAGATGTGAACCAGTACTCACTGGAACTATCTAAGTAGTCTGGTAGCATTCTGGCACTTGTTTTCTCTGCTGCACGTTCAAATGCTTTGCCAAAGAAGCTACAACAGAGAAAGATACAATATTATATAAAAAAAACACTCCACCATAAAGTGCTCAAGCCCAGCAAAAAAATTTTGTATTAAGTAACACATTCTGTTATTATAAATCTTGTAATATACAAGAAAATCCCAGTAAGATAAACACTCATCAGAAATTCCACACTGCAGTAAATAACAATGTATGTAAATACAATATTAAATTTGAGATTTTCATGGCTGCAAAAAATCCATTGTAGTCTCCTGGAAGCTCTGGAGGAACCTGCTGTCTTTATCTGCCTTGAAGACAGAGGTAGGAGTAACCATCTACTGTATGGTGTCACAATACCGAAAACAGAGGCACCAGGTTTCTCCAGAACACTGTTAACCATCAATTACTCTGTATTATTAAAACCCAGAAGACAATATCTAAATGCCACTCTCTCAGTTTTAAAAAAAATTATGGCACTAGCTACCTTTTATGTTTCATGTCTTAACATTAGGGATATCTGAAATACTGGTATGGTAATGATATATCTATCATGTTGTCAAGTGTGAGAAGATGAAGTGGTTATGAAACATAAAACATAGTGTGCCAAACTTTCTTGTATAGTGCTATATGTGACTTGCAGGCACTTGTAATAGATGGAGCATTTATGGCATATCTACTTTATTTCTAACACTGACATCTAGCAGTTGTCTTTCATACTACACTTCAGTGGTGTATGTCATTGTGTTACATGCTCTGGAATTTATGTTCAACAAATATGGGCTGAATATGGAATTTTATGATCAGAAAATGATAAATGATTTTTCTTGTCATGGGTTATTTAAAGGTGCTTTTGATATTGAGACGATATAGCATCAGGATTGGAAAGTAAACCATTTGGTAGACGTGAACAATGGAAATATAACAGCTGTCTGAAAAGAGAATGTCTGGTCTTCTGTGATTACAAATCATTTTTTGAAACGTTGTTATTAATGTCCTCCAGCAATAACAGCAAAATTTCAGAGCAGTAATAAACTTAACATGAAATGAAAAGAGAATCTTACATAGTACTGCAACCAGTACTTTGAACTTACTTCTTTGGTGAGTCCTCACAAGTGGGAGGAATTCCAACGACCAAACAGGTGCCCCTGTCTAAGTCATGAGGTGCTGATGCGATCAGGGGCAAGCTTGGTGCTCTGCGATTCCGTGAGCTTGCCACATATGCCCTCAGGGCAAAGTGAGCCAGAAGAGTTATACAATGAGGACGAGAGAACATCTTTGCATCTAATGTACCCTGATGAAAATGAAAAAAGTTGCCAGCAAAGTAACGTCTAACTAGAAGCAGCAACAAAAGCCTTGACAAAAACTCAGCAGCAAAACAAAAGTAACCTAGAAGTCTGTTAGTGGCATTTTAACACAAATATATAAACCAATTACTGTTCACAAGTTAATTAATTCAGCAACAAGTGAAATATACTTGTGTTCTACAATGCCGGAACATACCTCTTGCAATATCAAGTAAACAAACGGGCCAGCTGAAATAACTTGGTGCATATCCAGTGCAGCTTGGACTTGCTTGAAGATACATGTCAGCATCCGCTTTGCCTTCTCAATTCCTTCCTCCAAAACACATTTCTTCTGCCTGAAGAAACAAATGTGGAGTAAATTTCCACAAAATGAATGTCTGGTAACAGGAAAAGAAATTAAGTTCATTTCATAGCTTAAGCATCACCACTAACGTGATGAATGTTACAAAGTCACTTGGATAAAAACATGGTTGGTGATTTGTATGTTTATTTGTAATGCTGCACTTTAACAAGTTACATTATCCATTTGTCCAGCTATTCCCACTCTTGCCCACCAGAGGTCTCTAGAGTCCTGCAACTGCAGTGGCATCTACTGGCAGAGTAGGAAACTTTGTGGATGGCCAAAAATGGTGTCTAATTTTGCCTTCACTTATCTTTTACCATGAGTAAAACATTCTTTTACATGCTGTAAATGTATAACATGGGACCACTAGGTTTACTTCCCTTCTGAAGGAAGGATTTTATTGCCCTTCAAACTCCATGAAGCTCAGCCAGGTTTGAACCTGCAAACCTTGGGTCCATGGTGAGCAACTACTAGACCACCTGGCAAACTAGATAAATATGGAACATTACTAATCATAAAGAACAATGTCTGTTATTGATTCATACAGCACATATTTCTTCAACACAAGTAATGGAGTAATTTCTGTGGACAGTAACGTCTGTACACGTTTCCAGTTTCTCATGGTGGCGAGTGGTGATTGTTGAGACTGTGAGGTTTGGGTTGTGATACTACGTGGTCTTGGAACTGGATGGCAGTATTCAGAGATACATGCTACGCCCATCAAGACTGAAGTGGCTGGGGTGCAGATGTGGCCAGGTTACACTAAGTTCATTGTTCCATCCTTGTCACATGGCCATGCATGCAAAAATGCAGTTTCTAACAATTCTGTTACATCATTCTTATCAACCCAGATGGATATTCTGCTCTTCTTCATCCAGTTCATTGTAACTACATTTCTTGACACCCTGCCTATATAACGAGGCCAGATCCTCATCACTTCAACCCTGAAGACAGAGGGCGACATGTTCCTCTGAAACGATGGTATCAGCCTCCAAGACCACATCATATCACAGTCCATAAGACCACAATTTTAATTTACATTTTCAAAGACAGCAACAAGAAAATTACTCCAAATTTTGGTGCTTAAGAACAAAAATGTGATGCAACAATGACACATTCCATCACAGTGACATGACTGGCTACAGGCCAGAAAACCCAAATCTGATCCAGGCAAGAGAAACATTCTCCTGTATAATATAACATTCAGACAAGTTTTGTGGCCCTTGCACCCTCCTATCCACTTGTTATGGGGGCTCTTTGCCCAGCTATAAAGTCACCCAGCTCCATGCCAAGGTCTAGAATACATGCATCCATGGGTTGGAGATTAGGCACTGGGGCAACTATTTCTTCAAATCACATATACAATAATGCATACTCCTTGTTATTAGTGACAAATGCCATTTCAGCATTGCACAAGGGAAAATAAATTAATTAGCAGTTATTACTGTCCCCCCTCAAAGGTGTCTCCACCTTATCATGGTGGTGGGGGTTGCATGACTCTGTGACCTGGAGAGCTATGCCAGTGGTAGTTTAACTACATAGTAGGTTCACCCTTGCTGGAAAGGTCAAAGGGTAGAGTCCAGACTAAGAGAGATACCCTGGTCCTCCAGGTTGGGGGTTGGGCATGAGGCTAACAACCTCATCCTGTAGAAAGAATTTTGTTCAGAAACCTAACAATCAACCTCAGATAAATGGAACATATGGGAAACAAGCTAAGCAAAGAACAAAGAACAATACTGTGATGGCAACTTGGAATGTACAAGACCCAGGATGAGATGGCCAGACGATGTTGAGAACGACCTGAAGGAGTTGAAGGTGAAAGGATAGATAGAGAAGATGAGGAATAGAGAGCAGTGGAGTCTGGTTGTAGAGGAGGCAAAGGCTCACCCACGGCTGTAGCGCCAAGTGGTAGGTATTTATTAATGTTCCATATATCATGATATTTTCTGAGTTCATCAATGTATGGTTTAATTTTTGTTAGATTTGATATTCCCACAGCAGTGCTTATAAGAAGCACTTTCTTGTCAGATGTAACGCCATGTAATCTGGCAAAGAGTTCTATCTGCTGGTATAAAATGCTGTGTAGTTCATTCAAAATCAAGCAATGTTTCAGAGGTACATGTCACCTCCATCTTCAGGGTCAAAGAATAAGCCAAGCAATAAGTAGCCAGAATTCTGTTTGCCACCTGCTTCATGTTGATTTCTTGCTTGGTTTATTCTTCAACCCTGAAGATGGAGCTGACATGTACTTCTAAAACATCAGCTGATTTGCAAAGGACTACATGTTATTATATCCCAGATGGTAGGATTCCTCGTCACCACCACTGCAAGAACCTCACATCCTGCACAGTCTCATAAAGTTCATCAGCAAGCTTTGCTTTTCTTCTTGTTGGCTACTTGCTTGGTTCACTCTTCAAGCCCAGAGATGGAGACAGTTTGTTCTTCTGAAACATTAGTGAACTTATACCAGACTACATGGTGCTACATCACAGAAGAAAGTGCTCTTCAGTTTTGTTTTTGCATCTGAGATACATTAAATGACTGCTTCTAACATGTGTGGTTCCTGCAACTGAGACAGCAATACACACCATAGGTTGTCTGTCGATACATACCTGGATAAACAGTCCAAAGCTTCTAGAAAGCAATCAGCTGGTGATTTATCCCTCCCCTATGAATGAAAACAAAACAAACTTAAAAAACGCAAATACCTAATGTGCTATACAAAATACCAGAAGACATTAAAGTAATGGATGACAAGAACAAGAAAATACAAAAACAATTAAAAAACTTACAATGTCATCTGCAGTGTACTTAAATGTATTCTATAAAATGGCAACAGAAGATATGAGAGCACTGTGTGTGTGTAATTTTAAACATTTATGTCTATGAGCTCAAATTCTGTGAAGGGTTTTAACTTTCCCAGCTTCCTTCAATTTTCATAATACATATACTATCAAACATTTCCTTGCACACTAAACATCAGATACCTCTACAATGTACCACAATGAAATGTTGATAAAACTACATTGAATTACTGAAAATACCAGAATATTTTTATTCCCTGCCCATTTCTTTACTATAAAATTCAAACAAAGAAATCAAAATTGTTTTCTTAGTACATTCTTGTGCTACACTGAAAATGACATCCATTCTGAGGTCAACTAAAGGTAGCAACCTGTATGAGGTTCCCAGCTCATGTTATTAATGATATGATCAGAAGATGGAATGATTGTACACTCGTACCAGCCCAGGTGAGTATTGGTTTTCACTTTCTTAAGTGGTAGTAGTCTGGCACTAAACTCTGAACGCTGTGTAATTCTTACTTGAGTAGTAACAACCAAGCAAGGCAGAGCATATTGTTAGTTCAAGTAATAACCTAGATTTCTAACAACAACACAAGTACTGCAAAGATATGAATCTGTGTTTTTATGGCATATCATCATCATCATCATCATCATCATCGAGCCACAGCTTCCCTTAGAAGATTCTGCCAGATTTGTCTGTTCCTGGCCATGTGCTATGAATTAGACCACCCAGTATTTATTTATTTGGATTTTGAAACAATAATCTTTTTATAGAGCAAGGTTGCTGGCCTTGCAACCAACCCCCAACATGGAGGGTCAAGTCTCTGTATTTACATTCCCCAGTAACAGGGTGGCCCAGTTACATCCCCAGGCACCAGGTTCCCTTTCCAGCACCTTCTATGACTTGCAGGGCTATGGTGAGGATATTCTAACCCACCTCGACATGGGGCTTGATGACATTATATATGATGAAAAACTGCTAAGAAATCAAAAGAGGATTTTGATTTTGGAAGTAAAGTATTTAGGCAGTATATTAAAAAAAGTTACTACTGCTGTATTATGTGATCAGTTACATGTTTAAACTCTGAAACATTTCTCATACCCTGACCAATTATACCAATGGAATCTAGTCTAAATGACAATATTCCTACCAAAGTTTCTGTTGATCCCACAGCCAGCTAAGCCAGAATGACTGGGAGGACAGGATGGCTACAATCTGTGAATGAACACAGTGACTGCTGGCCAGTAACCAATTAGCAGGGCAATATCTTGCTTTCAAGTTTCATAAAACAATGGAATACTGAAAAAGACTATAGCATACAGACCCTGGAGGAACATAAATTTCAAGAAGACATTGGAAGAGATGTCATAAAATTGTTAACATGACACATGGTCTTAACATCTGACAAGCAGATGATTAAAAAACAGTTTTCAATGTGTCTAACTCAGCAAATATTGTGGAAAGAGCTAACTTGTTATATCCAAGGCACACACCATGTAGGAAATTGTCTCAACTGATGTAATGGCTTCGCAAATACCATGTTTCAACCCATCAAGTTCAGGCTGTAAGAATGAGATGTTTAACATAACATCAGACAGAAAGTCCCTGGAAGTTGATCCAGAGTTTTAGGTGCCACAGTTTAGGGCTTTCAAGACCAGTCCATGTCCAGGAGCTGTTTGAATCCTGTTAGAAGTACCCCACATGGTGTCTTCTTAAGCTAAATGACTTGTGATGTCAGAAAACAAAACATGCTGTATTACTGTTTCAACTGAACCTACTGAGCTCTTGTCAGACAATCAGTTTCCTCAAAATATAACTTATAATAAATTATATTCATCCTACCTATGTATGCAAAAGATTTAGTTAAACAAATTTAATTAAGGTGCATGAATGGAAAAGCTGAATATAAAAAGGCAACTTGCCATGGATTCCAGGGTGGCAAGCATGGCATAGACTATGTCAGCGGCACAATAACGACTACGGAAACCATACTGCAAAATGAAGGATGCATAAACAATGTCATGCAACTGGTATTTATCTGCAAGCTTGGCTATCATCGACTGGAACTCCTGACGAAGCACTAGGTCCATTGCACCGAATTTCTGCCTACTTTGAACAAGAGGCAATCTGCAAAAGGGTAAGATACAAGTAATAAACTGTCTGAAAAAGCTTACAAATGTATCCTAGAATAATTACAACAAATGTAAATGCTGTTCATGATTCAAAATTAGAAGAAGCATATGTGCTGTAAATGCTGATTACAGTTCATGTCAAAAACCATCATCACTCCATCATGTTCATATGATATTTAGGGAATTTATCAAATATGCATTCTAGTTCTCCATAGAACCTGTCCTTTATATCATCAATTTTATCCTCTGTTGGGGTATGACCATTCAGAATGATATCATCACAACAGCGACCTCTTAACCTTATGTACAACATCCTATCACTAACAAACTCTACCCTCTCAAGGCAGTAACTTTAAATTTTCCTGTAAAGTTTGGAAACCATTAAGAGTGTGAATGAGGCTAGCTGATAACCAAGCAAATTCAAACTCAGTGACTGCCAACACTGTTATCACTACACCAATTCCCTTGATTCCCTTGATTGACCCACTTATATTAATATCATTCTGATACATTATAATACACAGAAATATAAATTTATCTCACCCCATCTCAGCAAGCAACTCATGAAGTTTCTTCTTTCCACGAAGGGTCCATAGCTTTAGCTTCACAGCTGAGTACATTGAATGCTGAAGGCTCGCTTCCACTGTCCAGTGACGATAAAGTGCCAATTGCAGGCTAACATTATGTTAAGGGAGTAAACACAAACAAAAATAGGACTTACATGACAGTTGCAAGTGTTGGAAAAGAGTTGGAAGGGAGCTGCCAGTCAGACAGGACTTGAGCATGAAAGCTGAAGAATCTCCACTATTAGAAGCTGTTGGTGAAGACATAAAAGGCTGGAAAAGACTTAGCGGGTGCTGTGGTGATTTGTGAAGTGTCAAGATTAGTGATGGCGCTGTTATTTGCTTGTAGTTCTAAGTCATGTGTATAAATGGTCAATAAATTCCCATCTCTATCTATACTCATTCGAAACTACATGACAACTGGTGTCAGAAGTGCTTGGACTGAATTGACCAAATTACTGGCCTGTACTGAAGTGTGCATCATTGGATTGTGATTCATGTGATGGATAAACATGGAGTCACTTGAGCATGTGACAGCCCTCATGGAATAGATGACATCCATGATGGTGGCAAATCCAAAACAGACAGAGTCTGTAGTGGTGCATGAAAAAGTTGCCACAGTGAAAACTTTCGGAGCACTGAAGAAGCAGCATGGTGACCGGCATCTGGACATTGGGTTCCACTGACAGCTGCAGAAATGAACCCAGGATTATGGTGGGTCCTGGAAAAAGGTGGCCCCTGCCTGCAGAGGGATGACCTGCCATGCAGGAGTATCATAGCATAAGGGACGTGGTCATACAGGGCCGAGAGTTGAATAGAGACAATGGAAAAATTGGACCAGGGACAATGTAGCAGGAGGATCCTCAAAAGAATGGAAGTGTGGAGGGAGGAGTCAGGCGAAACCAGAATAAGGAACTGAGGCCCAAAAGACTAATTACATCTGGGAGCAGGAGAACACTCAACAGGACTTTCAGGCAGACTGTAGAGCTGGAGATTGCAAAGCAAACAGTTGGGAGTTCCATCAGACTGCGGAAAATGAATGTCAGGACTTTGTGGAGGGGTTGGACCCTCCGAAATGAAAGAAGAGACCACTATGACAGATTAAGAGCCATGGATGCAGGAGCACTGACCACTCTGGGAACCGTTGCCCTCACTGATTGGTAGAGGATGGTGATCAAGCTGGACTGACTGGCACCCTATGAGGGAAACACATGGGATGAGCAGTGGGAGTGGTTGGAGAGTATTCACCATGAAAAACAGAGAGAAAGGTGAACCTGATCACAGACATCACAAGCACAGCCCTTGGAAAAGAAGAAATGGCAGTACAACTGAGGGAGCAATGTAGTGTGTCAGTTCTGTACAGAAGTCTGTGAAGAAAAGAGGCTGTTGGAAGGGAGCCGCTGTTCAGAGAGGACTTGAGCTTGGAAACTGAGGAATAGCTATTGTCAGGAGCCATTACCGGGCAATACTAGTGAAGACACTGCAGGCTGGAAAAGTGCTCTAGTGAACTGTAAAGTGTGGAAGTTAGCAATGGTGCTATAATTAAGTGTAATCGTGAGTTGTGTATTAAAGTGGTCAACAAATCCAATATCCAATATAAACCCCTGTCTACAGTCACTCTATCACATGGCAATATATTTTAAAGGATACTCTTTTTCATACGTTATCTTGAGTGCAGTCTTATGATGAGTGGAGTTCTCATCATCCAGTACTTCACCTTGGTAACCAAGACGGGCAACATGACCCTGCAAGTTCCCAGTCTCCAGTACATACTGCTGATTCTCCACCTTGTATAATAATATTTGCTCTGTAACACCCACAATTGCCCACCTGCAACATAGGTGCTTATCACAGTAACAAAAAAATAATGGACTTCCATGTTATGACCAGGTGTAAAAAAATATGGTTGCCTGGCCACTAGTGGCAAATGAAAAATCTGGACTGGCAATCCAATTTGGTCACTTGTGGCACGAATAGAATGGTCAATCATACCAAAAGAAGTCTAGATCAAGTCATAAACAATTAACCTCACTTTTAAATTTGACTTTCTTTTGCTATTATCTTATATGTGGTCTATGGGTGTTTAGGACAAACAATACAATAACTGGAAGAAATCAATCTAATTGGTTGTGAGCAACACAGCAGATTATACTGATCCATCTTCTTTCTGAAGACGAAAATATTTCTTCAGGTCAGAGGTTTTAAAAAAACATTTCAAACTCTAGCTATGACAACATTTAATTTGGCATGTGACTACCAGTGTTTCGGCAGAATCTGCTGCCTTCATCTTAAGAATAAATCTTTACCAACTACATGGCATCATGACCCAGAAGACTGAAATCTCTATTTTCACCATTATGAAAACTTCAAAATCTCACCTGCAAAACTAATTTCATGAGCACCGAAAATTCTAACTATAATAAGCTGGCTATATTTTCTTAATATACAGTTTTGCAATCCTTTTAACATAATTTTTTCATTTGTCATTTATTTATAAATTTGTAATATTTCAGATTACCTAGGACTGAATGATAGATGAATAATAGACTGGAAAGCATCTGAAAAGTAATCCTGGACTAATTGGGGGTACTACCTTGGCACTTGCTTGTACAGATTGAGGACAACCAAGTATCCTGATGGATAGCCAAGATATCCTGAATATGAAGCAGAATATTACTCGCTTGACCACAATATTCAGTCTTTAATATAATAAATTATGAATACACCATCATTTAGGCAAAACTGAATGCCCTGGAAAAGCTGATACAATTTAAGTGTTCATTTGTTTCAAAAACTTGAAATTTCCTTATTAATGTTTCCTAACCAATCAAAATTTATAAATTAATGAACAACAGAGAATTGCATTTTTAATTATGATATGCCACAATTTGAGAAAGAAACTAGTGAAATACTACATTTGGAGCATGGCTTTGTATGGGGCTGAAACTTGGACACTTAGGGCAATAGATCAGAAACACCTGGAAAGCTTCTAAATGCGGTCTTGGAGAAGGATGGAGAAGATCAGTTGGACCAATTATGTGAGAAATGAAGTAGTGTTATTTAGAGTCAGTGAGCAGAGGAATTTCCTACACGAAATAAGAAAACGGAAGGCTAATTGGATTGGTCATATCTTACACAGTAAGTGCCTTCTAAAAGAGTTATTGAAGGACAGACAGAAGAGAGGATAGAAGTGACCAGAAGACGAGGAAGAAGACATAAGAAGATGCTGGATGACCTTGGGGACAGAAGAGGATATTCTCATTTGAAGGAGGAAGCTCTAGATCGCATTAAATGGAGGAACTGTTTTGGAAGAGACTGTGGACCTGTCATCTGACAGATTACTGATGAATGAATGAATGACACTTACCATAAGAGGTCCATGTTATCCTTTGATAGCTTCCATGCAAGTTCAAACATTATCACAGCACTCTGTAAGAAAAGGGGTCCTGATGATAATAATTATTTAATTACTTAACCTGTATCACCTGTTCTACATGCAAGCCCATTTTCAATATAGGCTATCCAATTCGATAGGATGCGCTGCTGCTGAGAACAGAGGCTGTAAATGATGGCATGAATAACAATCTTCAATAGCCTCTATATTAAAAAAGCAGAACCAACGTAATAATGGAAGAGCTTGGGACAATAAAGTGCTATGCCATAATTTAAAAAACTGGAGAAATAACTTACAGACTAGAGGATGTTGGCAGCATTTTATTCTTGGAGGTGTACATATGTTCCTCTAAATCCTTACAAAGTACATAATTAATGATACTATTGTTTTATCATAATGTCACATGTTTTAGTGACTTTAGATGCGGGTTTGGCTCAGTGATGACACTCTGCAGGTTACTGTAACTACACCACATAAACTAAGACACTACCTCAAAGGGTTCTATTCTGCTCTTTCAGATGGCGCTGTGTTGGAAACCATTGTAATTACTGTGGTAACCATATCTGCAGCCATGTATTTGTTTACAGTGTGCCCTTGGGATGTGTGTAGCCAACTGTTACCTTGCAATGGCTGACTCCACTGTGGAAACTATATTTACCCAGCCGCTGGCTGGCAGTGGACGTTTCCTTCAACTTCGATATTCCAGCTTTTAGGAGGTATGTCACAATATGAGTAGTAGCTGTGTTAAGATATACCACAATCTTATAAGAGTTTCTCCAAACTGTTCAACCACCTGAGGAGAAGAGTCAGATGCACGCAGATCAAAGATGTATAGGAAGCTCTCAGACAGTTACACGGCAGTTCTGTGCCACTCCATTTAAGAAGGTGGCCATTCAAAAAAGTTCAAAGTTATGAGGAATGTGAAACACTCCAAGAAAAGTATATCAGATAGTGAATATGTCTGTAATGTTTTGGCAGACAGCTAAGGAGAGTTTGTGCTGAATGCAAATACCGAAAATACTTCCGTTTCAACACTGGATGAGTTAAGCCTTTATTAATAATGGTCCCCAAAGAAATCTTAAATAGGGAAGCCACTGTAATTACGTAGTATTCATCATAGGATGGTTTCCCAGGAACAGCAAAGTAAACATGTAGTAGTCTTGGGGCTTAAGTATTAAATCATTGAGCATTCTATACTTAAGTAATACTTGAAGGTGAATACACTCCTTCTGCTCTTCCCCCTCTAGGGTAACAGTGCACAGTACTCATTGGATGGGAGACCAAGTGAAAGATAAATTTATAGTAAATCCTACAACCAATTAAGCAGCATAACATGAAGATACTATATGAAGGAATGGAGGTACAGATTGACACATTCTTAATCATGGAATTAGACGGAGGTGAGGGGGCAGCTTCACATCCCTGGGAAAAGAGTTCCTGGCACCCATTAAATAGGAAGCTCGGTCTGTCTCGAAGCTGGTCTGGAGGATGCGGAGAAAACAAATATTTCTTGCCTCTGTTGAAAACCTGATTCCTTGGTCGTCTGCCCACAGCTTAGCCTCCATACTGACTGGGCAATCCAGTAGGCCAAGTAGGCTCCAGCAATGGCAGCAAAGAGAACTATCCTGTTTTAACTAAGAACTGAGCTCTGATCATTCAGTTCCTTTACTAAACTATCATGGGCCATTAATTCAAATTACAGTACAGTTCCGTCCTGTGAAACATTCAGTTGTAAAGAAATTAAAACAAACAACAAACCATTAATCCTAACTCACCGAACGCCCATAATAATTGAACTGAGTATAGTCAAACATAAGCCGGTCTCTTTTCTCTTCCCAAAGGCGCCGTTCTCGCCTCCTAAGAATTGCTTCTTCATCCAGACGTCGTCGTTTTGCCTGTCGCGACTCCTCTGTTCCATCCTCGTCACCTGAGCCAGCATTTGAACCATCTTCATCTTCCTCCTCTGACTGTAAGCACAAAGTGTTGGCCAACCACTTCTTCTAATTCAGTACTGATTCTGAGTACTTATGGACCAGAGGACTCTTGTATACAATATATACTTGAAACTGTTCACACACAGCTTAGTTATTAAACTGAATGAGTTATCCCAGTTCCCATATAATAGATCATTTGCTTTACACACTATCTTCATGAAACTGTAAGTACGTCATCCCTATACTGCAATTAGCCACTGGTTTATTTTCTACACAGAGAAGTTTATGAACACTCCAAAGCCAAGAAAATAACATATTTCAATGAATTGTGAGGATTACCTTTGACTTGATGGGAACTAAACTTTACTTATGCATATTCTACAATGACATCAACTGTACTGCTTCTGTGGCGACAAAAGAAGAACGATAAGATTTACAAATGATAAACTTGGAGGAATAGGAAAGAAAGCAATGGAAGACTATTTGATAAAATTCTATCCTTCAGGTAATGGGAGTCTGGAAAACAAAACAAAAGCAACCAGAGTCAGGGCAGTCAGTTGTCATGTCAAGATTCAAACAGAATATGGCTTGGACATGTTATTGCTAAGCTACCTTGTTCAAGTTTAATAAGTCATCAATTGTTCTCATTTGCTGCAAATTTTATATATTATGCTAAGTGTTTCCATGTCTGTCTCTGCTTCATAAATTCTCAAGCCTTATACTAGAAAAGTAAACGATGACAATCAGAGTCCAAATTAATGGTTTATACATTACCTCGTCCTGAAAGATTTCTTCGAACTCTGGAATACCTTCATCGTCTTCTGCTTTTGACAGCAGTCTTATCTAGAAAAAACAAAATTTCAGTGATGTCAACACTCAATATTGTTTTGGATGCTAACTGGAATAATTTTATATAATTCGTGGTATACCCAGGAAGCCCAACAGTATAACACACGCAGTCGCAGGAGCACGACACAACAAAAGCACAACACACAAGATAATGAAGGAGTGCTCCAACAAAGGAGAATGGGCGTGACTGACGTAGTGAGGGGCGACGTAGCGATGTGGTATCCTGAACAATTTTAATATTTTTAACGTTTGACAATGTATATGATAGATACATATTTTAGTTATTTTAATGTGTGAACATGGCATGCAATGAACTGGTTTGACGTGGATAAGTAAGCACCTGAAGATGGCATTATTATGCCGAAACATGTAGTGCGAGGGAGAGAAGGAGATAAATGAGTGTATGCACTGCAAGACGGATTAAATAAATCATGAATTTTATATAACATTGATATTTGAGCTGTTACTGTAATATCTCCTTGAAGCTGTTCACTTTTCTGTGAATGAGATCCAGAACTTTCATGCTCAATCTGCTGTGGACCAGTCTTTGGTGAGTTCATCATGAAATGCATTTATTACATTCACCATGCCCATCTGCATGTAACAACTGAAGAAGAAGCTGGACATAATTTTATGGAATTCAAAAGTGAAATTCGTCAAGACATTTCTATTTTTGTTAAAATCAGTGAACATTAATACACATCGAATGAAGCCTTACATGTGTTTCTGTGTGTTTCTCAAGAGTAACTCAAATACAACTCATGAAACATTAATCTGAGGAAATATGTTTGAAATGAAACAGATATTTTATATCCAAGATATTTTTTTCTAAGTTCTACAGTTTTCAGACAACTAAATAAAAGGCAGTTACCACACTAGAACTGTTACACTATGCACACATTTCCTAAACTTTTAATTTAGAAACACACATACTGAAATGGAGTACATATATTTTCCTATAAATACAAATCTATTGTCACAAAGCTCAACACACTATAGATATCAAACTTCACAGAGGAAAAATGATTCTTTCTTGGTATTTTCTTACACATTCAACTTATTAAAAAATGTTTCAGATTAAGTTATGTATGTTAATGAGTCTTAAATTCTATGCCATATACTAATTCTTTGTATAGCAAGGAATTTTTGAGAAACTTAAGCTGTAATACTGGAGTTTACTCATAGTAATTAGGGTACAGACTGGAGAAAAAGGGAAAGTGGATTCAATTTTCAGCAAACAACGTTTCTCTTCTTCACCATGTTCAAACTAACAATGGGATAACTGAGACTCCTACACGATGGATACAGGCATGCCCCAAAATGTCTTCATGGAGAGGTGGTCAATTAAGTACAGGGACAACGTTACCTATACTTTTACACACAAAATTAGCCAATACCAATACCAAACTTCACCAAAATCTGTCAAGTAGTTCGAGAAAAAGAAATATGCAGATAGACAGAAAACAACAGATAATTACAATTTCACAAATGTGCATTAATTTTATGAAGAATGTGTACAAAATGTAAATGAATGTGTCACAGCATTCACCTTACCTGTCCGTTATTATAAACATTGCACACATCAGTTGGTTTGTGACTGTCAATAACAAAGAACACAACATCTTCTTTGGGCTGAAGTGCTTCAACAATGTCAATGGTGCCACCACAGTTGACAAGAACAATATATTTTACCTGAAGAAAGAACGTCATCACAATAATGTAGGTTGTATTTCTATTGTGTAACACACTTCTTCTAATAGCAATTGTTAATGAAGTTATCAAATCGGTAACAACTTCAGTAATCGTAAGAGTTGAGGTTTTCACGGTGGTGTCTATGAAGAAAGCAGTCTTCTGGGATGTGGCGCCATGTAGATATTGTGTTAACCGACGTTTCGGAGAAACGTATCGCCTCCATCTTCAGGGCAGAAGAAAATCCACAAGCGAAGAACCAGCGAGAGTTCTGGCTGGTTCTTCGTGATACATTCCTCCGAAATGTAGGTTAACACAATATCTACATGGCGCCACATCCCAGAAGACTGCTTTCTTCAACTTCAGTAATCTTTCTTCTATTGATATTAGACCAGTAATTAGAAAAGCTATGAAAATTATTATTCTGAAATTTTGTCATATTACTAAAACATAATTTATTTATTCAATTTAACAGCCTCTTTGGCTAAATGTGTATCCTTGAATCAATTCCTTAAGTCTTCAGGGTCAGATTTAAGGGGCCGCAAGCAGGGCAGCCACCCCACTTTCAACAAAACAAAAACAGAACCCACAGATTCTGTTGAGACATTCGCTTCTCAAAAATTATGAAAAGTTAGTTTATATTTTTATTTATTATAACAAATAATAATAAAATGAATGACAGCAACTAACTTTTTTTGTTACTGGCAGGGCTCCCAACAACTATAAATCTTTACCTGTAAGTCCTACAGCTCAAAACAAAATAATTTCATAATACAGTGACAATGTATTTAAGCTTCAAGACTTGTCTTTTGGGTTGTGATGTCATGCAGTATAACAGATGGTTTACAAGCATTTCAGAAGAACATACACAACCATCTACCAGACTACATATGTCATATCCCTCAACAGCGCTGTCCTAACATTCACTACTTTGAGGACATCAAGGTACTAATTTAAGTTTACCTTCACAAGCAAACATTACAACCTAGAACTGTTTCAAACTTTGTCAACATAATACTGTTAACATTACAGTATATTAAAAATGGGTATAATATGCTGGGAAACAAGTATACTATAAGACCCCCTTAAAAATTACTAATAAATTTTAATCATCAAGAAAAAAAATATTTTTATTCACACCTTTTACTCTGTTTACAAATGTACACCACTAGATAATGGTCATTACCTCTTCGGAGTTTTCTCCATACACATTCTGCAGATCAGTTATCCCCTGCACGGGAACCAATGTGTAAAGAATACTGTCATATCGGAAAAGGCACTGAAGAATTTTGCATGCGCATATTGCATCAATGTCATGATTCACTAGTAAAAGTATCCTCTGGAAAGAAGCAGTTATAGTAACTTACTTTATTAAATGTAAGAATCATACAAACAGACATCAATGATTTAAAACTGTACAGGGGCATTAAGTATCCAAAAATCTTACTGTCAGAAGTATGATGTTCCAACATTGTAACATTCATAAATTTACAGGACATCTCCTGATGGAAGACACAATCACATCGATAATATTTTGATAGATAGGAGACGGCACTCAAGTATACTTGATGTCCGATCATTCGGGGCAGCAGATTGTGATACTGACCACTACCTACTGGTGGCAAAGGTTAGAGAAAGACTGGCAGTGAGTAAACAAACAACGCACAGAGTTCATATTGGAGGTTCAATCTCAAGAAATTAAATGAGGTAGAGGGTAAAGAGCATCATCATGTTGAAATCTCAAATAGGTTAGTGGCTTCAGAAAACTTAGACACTGAGGTGGATATTAATAAAGCTTGTGAAACTATTAGAGAGAGTATCAAAATTTCAGCCAATGAGAGCCTAGGTTATCATGAACTGAAGAAGCATAAACCACGATTTAATATAGGATCCTCAAAATTATTAGACCAATGAAAACAAGCCAAATTACAGTGGTTACAGGATCCAAATAAAATAAATGGGGATTTATCAACAGTATAAGATGTGAAACAAGCAAGCAATGCAGGAAAATGAGGGAATATCTAAAAGATTGCAATGAACAGTAAGAACAAGAATATCAGAGACATGTATATCGAAGAATAAATGACTTTACGAGGGGTTACCAAACTAGAAATAACTTAGTGAAGGATGAGACTGGTATCTGCTTGCAGATTCCCACATTTTGAGTAGGTGGAAGAACTACTTCTCTCGGTTCCTGAATGTACATAGGGTCAGTGATATTAAGCATATAGAAATACACACAACTGAGCCATTAGCAACTGAGCCTAGTCCTTTTGAGGTTCTAATTGCTATTGTACAATTGAAAAAGTATAAATCGCCAGGTAGTGATCAAATTTCAGCAGAACTTATTCAAACAGGAGCTTAAATATTATGTTTTAAGATCTATAAGATAACTGCTTATATTTAGAATAAGGAAAAACTGTTTGATCAGTGGAAGGAGTCTATTATTGTACCAGTTCAAAAGAAGGGTGATAAAACTGACTGTAGTAATTATCGGGTGATATCAATGCTATCAACTTCATACAAAATTTTATCCAATAGCCTTCTCTCAAGGTTAAGTCCACACATAGATGAAATTATGGTTTTGACATAACAGACCAACTACTGATCAGAACATTTGCATTCACCAGATACTTACTCATGGAGCTGAGCCCTTCTGGAGGAGCTGCCAATTCTGCAGCTACTCAAGAATTTCCTAGCATTTTATGGAACCCAAAGGTTCATTATTGTGTTCACAAGAGCCCTCCACTGGTCCCTATCCTGAGCCTGATCTATCCAATCCATACCATCCCATCCTATCTCTCTAAGATCCATTCTAATATTGTCCACCCACCTATGCCTTGGCCTTCCCTGTGGTCTCTTTCCTTCTGGCTTTCCCACCTATATCCTATACACATTTCTCTAACCCATTCATGCTACATGACCTGCCCACCTCATCCTCCTTGACTTGATCATTCTAAGCATTCATCAGATACTGCAGAAAAATGGGAGTACAATGAGACAGTATATCAACTATTCGTAGACTTTAAGAAAGCCTATGATTCAGTTAGAAGGGAAGTACAATATTCTCATAGAGTTTGGCGTACCCATGAAACTAGTTAGGCCGATTAAAATGTGTTCAAACAAAACGTATGGTAAAGTCTGTATAGGTCAACACTTCTCTGATAATTTCTTTATCCAGAAAGGTCTAAAAGAAGGAGATGCTTTATTGAAACTCCTTTTCAACTTTGCTTTAGAATATACCATTAAGGAGGTCCAGGAAAATCATGTGGGACTGAAATTAAATGGGACACATCAGCAGTTGGTCTATTCTGATGATGTGAATCTTCTGGGTGATAATATAGATACCATAAAGAAAAGCACACAAACTTTAAATGACACTAGTATTTTTTGTTATTGCTAGTGTGGTAGGACTAAGTCCCTTGTACTGCTGCCACTTCTGGCCAATTGTACCAGCCCCAGATGATAGGTGAGGGTGATTGTGGAGCAACTGGTGGAATGAAGATTGGCAGGGGAAACCAAAGTACTCGGCGAAAACCTGCCCCAGCGCCACTTTGTCCACCACAAATCCCACTTGACCAGACCCGGGGATCGAAACAGGGCCTCCGTGCTGGGAAGCCAGCAACTAACCGCTTCAGCTATGGCGCGGCCTAAATGACACTAGTAAGTAGGTTGGTCTAGAAGTAAACACAGAGAAAGCTAGGGATATGTTGCTGTCTCATCACTAAAATTCAGAGCAAAATCATAACATAAAAACAGGCAACAGATGTTTTGAAAATGTGGCGTTCAGATATTACTACTGTACTTCAGTACTACCATTCAGTACAGAAGATTCTGTCTTATCATCTGTTGTCTAACAATTCATAACCTGTACTCTTCTCTAAGTATAATTAGATTGATCAAGCCAAGAAGGATGAGATGGGCATGACATGTAGCACGAATGTGAGAGAACAGGAATGCATATAGGATATTGGTGGGGAAACCAGAAGGAAAGATACCACTGGGAAGACCAAGGCATAGGTGGGTAGACAATATTAAAATGGATCTTAAGAGTATTAAGATGGGATGGTATGGATTGAATTGACTTGGCTCAGGACAGGGACCAGTGGAAGGCTCTTATGAACACGGTAACGAACATTCGGGTTTCATAAAATGCTGGAAAGTTCTCGAGTAGCTGCACAATTGGCGGATTCTCAAGGAGGGCTCAGCTCCGTGAGTGACACGGGCATTAAGAAATAAACTACACTCTTTCATATTCGTTTTATGGAACAGGCATATATAAATAAATTCTAAGATTAATTAATTAAATTGATAGATAAGTGCACAAAGAGGTATATGAGTTATATGAGTATATGACTCATTCACGAGTCAGTACTTACTAAACATATACATTCACTGCAGATTCTGTATAGTACGTGAAAGAAACATATTGGTTATCTGACATTAAATATGCTGAATAATTTATACTCGATATAGCAAAGGACCGAAGATTGTCGCGGTACGTCATTTAAAGCCCATCCCTTTAACGTATAAAACCCCAACATACATTAAAGTTACTATAACTGGTTAATACAACTTTAAATCGAACTTAAGGTTTTAAATGCATAAGATGCTGAAATACATTACCTTCCCAATCAACACGTTATAGAAGTCTTTCTTTAAATCTTCTACATACATAATTTGTCACACAAACCACCAAATTTCATAACTCACAGCATTTGGCGCCCACAATCCGCCATATTACATTACCGACAGGGAAGCCAACATAAATAGTAAATTAGAACTTCATTATCCCTACTCATATCTAAGTTTTGACACTAAACTACAAAACTTTGATACATAGTAAACTGTACAGCCAATTGAACAGATAAACGTAATTTAATGTTAAGTGAAGATAATCAACTACATTAAGGACCACAAAATATTATCGTTACATTACCATTGGCAGACATCACGGATTACTAAGTGGAGACGGTGCTGACACCTCGGAACCACGGATTACTAAATCGGAACCTACAATACCAATTACATTCACGCACGCGCCCATCTTTAAAATATTTTTTAAACTGTGTTGCTTCAAAATGAATGCGTTTCGATGTGCAATATGCAATGTACTGGTGGATTTAGAATTCAATTTCGCCACCCAACGCCGCAATTGGCTTAAATTATTTGAAACGCCACATGCAAGCGAGATTCCAATCAACCCTTTCATATTTAAACTGTAGAAAAATTACTGGGGTAAAATCCAGCCTGTTTTTATATTATCCGAGGTTCTCGGAACGGTTATGAAGCGTCTACCTTTTGGGATATAATGCTGTGTACCTTACTTGGCTTATTATTTGGCCCTGAAAATTGTAGTGATATCTTCCTTTGAAACATCAATTGCCTTCCAACGGACTACACGCAGCATTACATTCCAGCAGATATCTCTCTTCAATCTTTGTTTTTTCCTTCATTTATTAAACATTTCAAATTACATTTTTCTTCTTTTTGAAGAACAGCTCAGTGCTTTCTCATGCGTGTGTTGGATCTTGAAATAAAACATGAATAACATTTTTGTGTGTGCAAAATTCAAAACAGATTCACATCTTAAAAATTATAAAAAAAGTTTAATAATATATTACATATGCATAGTACAAATTTATTATATACACTAGGCATTAGAATCGCCCACTTCTCTTGCGACCAGTGTATTTTGTGTCACTTTTGGTTGGTTTGCCTTGCCTCCGACGACGTTCCTTTTTCTCTAGGATCCATTCTTTGCTCCTCTTTAGAGGTTTGCCTCGCATCTTTTTCAGCTGATCCCTGAAAGAACAAAGAGAGTATATATTGACAAAATATTGTAACAGATCTGATCAACACATTGCCAGGCAACAGCTCTATAAACATGGTCCAACATGCAACAATAGATGAGGCCATGTTTCCTATGTCAACAACAGAGATAGTGTTTTCCGTTGGGTCTGTGCAGAGTGCTTAAAGAGAAGTGAATGCAGAAGCAAGTTCAGTTCAGAACAGTTACGAGTCAGTTGTACACTCAAGGAGTTGAGAAACAGATGGAACTTTTAGCTGAGTTCCCAGGTTCAAGAGAGATCGAAGACAAACTGACAAGAAGACTTCATAGCAATTTGAAGTGGCAGTTTCTGTTTTTGAGATCCACTACCAGCATAATCCTAGTGCATGTGCAACAGCGAACTGAAAGTGTGTAGAACAGTGATAGCATTATAATTGAGTGTGATTAAGAGAGACTGTAACCTAAGCACCAATAAATCAAATCCTTGAAACCAGAACCTGTTATTTTCAACATACATACCCCCGACATGTGACGATATATTTAATTTCTTAAAATATAATTATATTTCATATATATTTATGAATGACATTTTCAACCACACAATGAAATGTTAAAAGCATATATGTAGTCAAATACATCACAAAATATGCCAGAAAATTAGAAACTGGTGAATCTGAAAGACAAGAAAATTATAAAGTTAAATAAAAATGTATGAAAAATAACACATTGTATCAGAAATAAGCCTAAACACGCACCTTCTCACATCATCAACACTACAATCAAGTTACATAGTACCAACAAATATAAATATGGAGACACTGGTATCAATTTCCCTTAACATACAATTTAACAAATAGAAATAAGAGGATACATTAACTAGATCAAATACATCACATGAAAAACATGACTGATATAACACCTGCTGCTTGCCCAGAACATGTAGTTCTAATCTGCATATTTCTGGCTTGCTCTGAGCACTGTCCCTTGAATTTCAGCACTGTGGTTGACTTCAAGAGCTTTAAACAGACACCTTTCATGCAAAATATTACATCCATTTGGATTTGAGGATCACACAGTGATAGCTATTATACGTTCTTGCAAGTTGTAATGCTGTGTAGTGTGGGGACAGCCCAACAATTTCAAGGAACATACTGCTTCCATCTTTAGGACTGAGGAATAAGCCAAGCAAGAAACCAGGAGAAGCAGGTGACAAGCAAAGTAGCTCTGAAAAATTTTCAGTCCCTTGAAAATTTTTAATTTTTTGGTCTAGAATTGGAAAATTTTGTTTCCAGTGTCTCCAATCTCTCATACATATTTCACTGATACCAAACTGTGTTGCTGTTAACATTTGTATCTTCACATTGAATTACTTTTCATTTAAATATGTGGGGGAAGAGAGCAAAGAACTTCATATTGACTAAAAACACCTTACTTCTGCTAATGTGGGCAATAAATATGTGCATGCATATGAGACAGACTCACATTTCCAAAAACAAATACTACAAATGCATAATATGAACTAAAATTATTACAAATGCAGTAATTTGAAGCAAAATAACAGTAACTAAGGTGGTAAAAATGTAACAGTGTCTTTTCCCAGAGAATTTTCTACTGTAAAATGGGCATTACTTAATGTATATATGCAAGGGGCCGCACCATAGCTCAAGCAGTTAGTTGCTGGCTTCCCACCACAGCAGCCCGGGTTCAATCCTGGGTCTGGTCAAGTGGGATTTGTGGTGGACAAAGTAGCGCTGGGGCAGGTTTTCTCCGAGTACTTCGGTTTCCCTTGCCAATCTTCATTCCACCAATTGCTCCACAATCACCCTCCCCTATCATCTGGGGTTGGTATAATAGGCCAGAAGTGGCCGCAGTACAAGGGACTTAGTCCCACACCTCTAGCAATAAAAAAATGTATATATGCAGAAAAATACAGGTATTACACAGAGCATGAATCTCTGACTTGGTGATTTTGTCATGAATACATCAGGCATATACTGTGCAATATTTTTTATCATGAATTATGAACCAGCGTTAAATGAAAACATGTTTAGTTCTCTAGGCATCCTATAATAAACAGATTCTACTGTAATATTTAGAGGGATTTTACCTCTTGCTGGAATATGAAATTCTTTCCTCCTCTTCAGCTTCAACCATTGCTTTTGGAAGTGGTGCAGCTCCACCACACATAAGAACCAAGAAAAACTTTTTTGCCTTTGTGCTGTTGGGATAGTCAACAACAACACCCCCAAAAAACCCTGCTTTCATGGCCTGTGTGGTCATGAGTTCCATTTGGTCACTGTTCTCTGGATAGAACTGGAACACAGCTCTTGCTGTGCGACTCTGAAATTGAAATATATTCACTTCATCTACTCTACACTTCATTTGTAAATCAGATTACTGTTGTTAATAAAAGGGAACCATCCAACTAAAAATGATTAAGATATTCTCCTGTCTAATAGCTTAGAATTAATATTTTGAAAATAAAATCATTAAGATTGAAAATAAAGTTGAAAGGGAAGCAACAATGCATACGATAACGAATGAGATAATTTTATATAATTTTCAAAGATTCTATTTTGATTTTCTGAATTGAATAACACTGCAAGCCTCAAATAATATAACATACTATTTTGCAAATTTGATATACATCTTGAACATAATTGAAAAGTATTCCAATATTACTGAATAGTTTTGTTCTGAAAATGAACATAATCTGTGGGTAGTTACAGAAAGTTCCTATGGATGAAAGACATTTTTTCTGTATTTTTGTAACAACAACACTCATAGTGGTGTGGACTGCCAGAAAAACAGTTTGTTCTAATCCTCTCACATATCTAAGCAAAAAAAAAAATTATGTGACTTTGCATTCCACAAAATTTGTATCTTTTAATAAAATATGTCATATACACTACACTGAATTTACACGTTTAATTTTCATTGTTTCACAATTATAGCACACTTTGCACAAAGGTGACACATTGTAAAGATCACCAATCCTTCACAATAAAAGTTCTGCTACAATGCGGGGATCCTATTTATAAATATTAATTGCACAGGAATATATACAGCAAGATCAGTGCTATCTTATGCCTCTGAGACCTGGCCACTGTCAAGATCGGATGAAAGACTGTTAAGTATATTTGAAAGGAGGATCCTGAGATATATCTTTGGACCAGTGGAAGAAAATGGAATATGGAGGAAGAGGCATAACCATGAGCTATACAAACTATTTAATGAACCAGACATTACTGGATTTATAAAGGTGAAAAGGCTTGAATGGGCTGGACACATAATATGTGCCGGCAAGAACAGAACCATCAAAAAAATGCTTAATACTAAACCAGAAGGAAATAGGAGAGTGGGAAGACCAAGGTTAAGATGGGAAGAATGTGCATGGCAGGACATAGGAATTTTGGGTATAAAGAACTGGAGGAATGTAGCATCGAATAGAGAAGAATAGCGAGCAATCCTGAGGAAGGCCAGGGCTCACAAAGGGCTATGATGATGATGAATATATACAGCATTTGAGTAGCAGCCATTACTGCCATCAGACAACACATTATATTCCACAGTACTTTATGTTATTCACTATAATGGACTCTGAATAAATATAAAAATATACAGTAGACCCTCAGCAGCCTCCATAGTCTAGGGGTAACGTTCCCACCTCATGACTCAAGGTATGCGGGTTCAAACCCAGCGGAGGTCGTGGAATTTTTAAGGGCGGAAAAATTCAGGGAACAAGTCCTCCAGGAGGGACTTTAAGCCGTGGGTCCCGTGTCGTAGATTTACGGCACGTAAAAGAAGCTCATGTCTCTAAGAGACCTCTGAGCCAAATTATTAGGCAAGTTTCCTGCCCAAAGTAGTTTCCAATGCCTCTTGTAGATGGGGGAAGCATCTTGTACCGCTGAGCCAGTAGAGGCTGAACTCGCTGGCTGAGTGGGGCTGATGGCAAGCACCAGTACCAGTAGGGTATGGAGACTGGTAGAATATCAAAAGGGGAGGTACAATAGATCAAACTGGTCGCGGTGCATGGGGAAACCCACCCCCTCCAACAATAATAATAATAATAATACAGTAGACCCTCATCCAATGAGGGAACAGCTACACATGCTGAATAAAAGCAGGTTCATTATACAAATACATATAAAGTAAAGTAAAGGTATCCCTGTAACAGGCCGTAGAGGCCCATAGGGCTGTGAGATGTTAAGGTTCCCACATTTTCTAGACAATCGGCTCATAGATGGTGGTAAGGTTGTTAGCCTTATGCGCCAGCTGCCCTTTACCCCCAAGAACATTCCAAGAATATTTTAAACTGCACTGCAGGGGGGGTTATATGTAAATATGAAATTACCAAGCAAGAGTAGAGAGAACTGAAAAATTTGTATAATCGTTTGGTAGGATGATGACTAGTTTTGTCTGCATTACAGAGCCACTGGAGGGCACTGATGCTCACAGCACCATCAAAGGCACCAGCTCGAAAAGGCAAACCTTGCCCAAGGTCTCCCAGCAACAGGTCACCTTCTACTTCTCGTTCTAAAGCAACATCTGTAATGAAATATGTGGTTCTGTTTCAATAAAATTGTTCCTTTACATTTTCCATACCTGGATGGTTCCAGCTACAAGCTAACATAAAATTATCTTATGCACAAATTTATTATGTCAATGTATTAAAATGGTAAAAGGTAAAGGTGCTTAATTATGCACCAAGCCATTAACACATACAGGAGACTGGAGGTATTGCTCCATTCATTCTTACCCTTGACAATAGGTGGAAGTAACTGGTCAGCTTTATACCCCAGTCACTTTTCTTTCAGGTAAAGAGCCCCCAGTATTTATGCCATAGGATGCTATGTGAGCCATAGAGAGGTCTGGATACTTTGGAGAAGACAAATATCTCGTCCTTGCCGTTAATTGAACCACCAATCCTCAGTGATCCAACCTGTTGACTAATCTCTACACTAACCACGCTATATCGGTTCTTAAGTCACTTTATTATTTTTCAGAATCTTTAGCATGAATTTTGCCTATGCTGCTCATGGCCAACATGTGGCATGAAGAAGGTAAGTCAACTTTGTACTTAAGAATAACACCATAAAGGTGTTCAAAGTGGTCCTTATATTCTCCACCTCAATACTGGCTAGAGGTCAGCAGTCAGCATTGCGTTTGGCATAGTCTCTTGAATCATGTGGAACAATGCCATTGTACACAATGGATATTATGTGATGAACGAAAAAGTTTCTCAATGATAAATGATATAAACTCCGTCTCAAGTGCAAACAATATATTTTGTGTCTTTGATCTTGCTCCCTACACTACATGTTTCGGCCTCAGACGGCCATCATCAGGTGTATAACACTCACGTCGCTGTCACACTGCACCCAGTTCAAAATTTAACATCTA